CATTACAAGATCACACAGTACTGGACTACAGAGACTGCCCATTGGAAAGCCAAAAACTTGTTTATAAAATTTGTTGTTGAAATGGAAAAATTTGAATTCAAAATTAAAGATACACCTGTGCAAAATTCATTGAGAGAAGCATTGATTTTACTATTCGAGAATTTCCAAAAATGTCTTATTGCATTTATGATTAAGGCTTCACTAATATGAGTAAATAAACTAACAACATCTAGACTAATAAGAGTGTAACCAGGCGAAACGATAGTATCTTTTAATTTATTTTTCAACTCATAACTATTTTTTACGTGTGATTTTGCCAGTGAAACATTCTTAATCAATAAATTAAAAAGAAATTTTTAAAAACTATAAGTAGGTGAATTCAGTGTCGAGACAATGATACTTAATTGAATTAATTACTTTAAAGAATTATTTTTTAGCTGTAAATAATATTTATCATCACTTAATTATTCTTCTCCTTTATTAATGTAAGTTTCTTTGTCAATGACAATAGTAATATTACCTTTATCTGATTTAGTAATTAAAATGTGCTCATTATTTTTAAGAAAGACTTGTGTTTGCTTCAAATTGTCTTGGAGAATTTCATCATTTAAAAAAAGACGAGTAGAAACATTATTCTATTATTACCAATAATGTTGAGTAGTTCTTTTCTGACAGTCTCAAATTCTCCAGAATATTTTAATGAATGTTCAACATTCTTAAAAAGTTTAAAAAAATCACATGTATTAACATTAGAAACAAAATTAAATTAATCGCCCAACTCTTATATGCTTGAAACACAATCCAGTAGCGATTCATATTTGATTGTATTGTGTGCGTATACTGTGTCGTTTGTGTATGTGCAGGGTATAAAAGCAACGAAATTTGAAACTCTGACCACATTACGATTTTACACTCTTTCGTAAGAGTCAGAGGTATATTATACACTTTACTTAATTTGCGTTTATTGTATTCACCAAAATTTGTATTGTAAAGAATTTTTTTAATTACTCATACATTTTTGTACCTGATTAGGGCCGGGACATTATCCAAACGGCCGAAACGTCATTTTGTTTTTTAATAAATACGAAATTTGACAGTACCACCATTGAACGATATTTTAATTATTAACCAACTGTCATTGGATGTCTTATATTACTATTATTTACCATTTAATTGTTTTAATAAATTTCAAATAATGTCCCTTATCACGTGCAAAATTCTTTGTATTTTTATCGTTAACTCAGTGAAAAATGGGTTTTTCAAATTTAGTGTCTTTGTTATAACACAATAAATAAATGCATAATAGAACCGCTAGAACAACGAACTTAGAAGTAATATATTAAAATCAATACTTGTTATGCTCCGTTGGTAAGAAGTCAAATAGTCGGATTACGACCGAGCATGGCATTCAAGTACTTAAAATCTTACCAAACAATATTTGTGTACAAATAAAATATATAGTGCTAATGACCCTCAGAGTTTCTTATAAGTGTAAGTATGTATATTTCTTTTAATAAACCCTAATTGAAACGTCTTATATTTTATCTTCATTGTTTCTTTTATTTAGGGGATGTGCAAACCACAATCTCACGATTTTTATAATGGCTCAGAAGTGATTGTTAAATTTAGCACTTGGAGTTAATTTTCACTTTCTATTAAAAATTTGTTTCCACATTACTTCACCTGGAAATTCGAGTTTCGGTAGCAGTGTATAGGGAAGAAAGCCAACATTCCTTTCCTATCGATGCGATACCTATATCGTGTAGAGGGGTCAGGAGAAAACAACTCCCTGCTCTATACTTCTCCTTGCGAGAGAAAGAGAAAGGGAGAGTGAGGGAGAGAGAGGGATAGAGAGAGAGAGAGAGAGAGAGAGAGAGAGAGAGAGAGAGAGCGAGCAGCAGTGCCAAGGTGCACAAGTACCAAGTACTTACCAACGTTGCATTTATTTATTTTTTTGGAGCTGTGAGAAAACTTCTTCATGTATAAATGTTTAAATGCTGTTGATATGTCAAAATATTTATCAAATAACAAAATTTATAAGATGTCATTGAATACCTAACAAAATTTAAACAAAATTAAGTTGTTCTGACCGACTTGTTTTGCTTTTCAGGCTTGTTAATATCCACTAACCAAAAACCTAAACATAACCTATCACCACTGAAACTAATTGTTTTCGGATGGCTTTGCCTCGGGGACAACTTCACCCCCGGAGCAGATTATCGAGTTTCGTCCCTTGTAGTGTAATTTACTTTTTTATCAGCAGCTTACTTTCTAAATTCATGAGTTTGAAATACTTGTCGATTAAAATTATAGTTTCTCGTAATTTTTAGGCTTTTCTACTTTGTACTACTAAAAACTCGGGTCATCATAGTCAGGTTGAAATTCCTAATAAAAAAGCTCGATAAAAACATAGATAAAATTTCAGGGCAAGTTGCTGGACAAAATTTGAAGAAAACTAAAATTGGATATTTGGACTTTTAACACAGGCCTTACTATTTATTCACTGCATATGATTTAAAAACTAAGCCACATTTGTTGAAGTAATATTCTTTCAAATAGTATTACCAAAATATTCATTTGCTAAGCAAAATCAAACGATATTTAGTGTTGAAAGTAGTTACCGAAGGGTTCGTGGGTTAGCTTGTTGTTCGGTCTGCTATCTTACAAGCCCGCAAAATTTAAACACATTTAAATGTATTTTTATATTTTATGTACATACTTCAGCACACAATGCACAATGCAGATTGATATTTTTTGCTTCGGTATAGGAACCCTCAAAAAGAGTTTAGACAATGTATTACGGCTTAGACTAACTTGACCACTACTTGAACTTTTATTTATAGTCTTTACTGGAGAGCCTTCTTAATGTGCTAATAAAAGTATGGATTTGTGAATAATTTGTGCTGAAAATAATTTTTCCCAAAACTTAGTTCTACAGTTTTTAAATAGAGAAAAAAAGAAGAAGTTGATTGATAAAGTGTAACTGGAGTTATACATTTTTGCAAATGAGTTCACAAGACAAAAAACTTGCTATTCTTAGATATACCATCAACTGTATTATGAAAAATATGTGAAAAAACCAAAAGCAAAATTGGAGATGTGTTAGTCAACATTTATTAAAATTTATACAATTTTTAGAATAGTTATCTTTTTTTTTCATTTAGTAGGTTTTGGTAGGTATTTAATAGGTTCATGAGCGATGGTCAAATAGTTGACAAGAACGTGCAAGCTCTTAAAAATGCATTATTTTGCTTATTATGCAGTAAACAAGCGCGTTATATCTATTAATGATGCAACAACGTTTAGTTCTTTTTATTTTTGTTTTTCTAAATTAGTACATTTAACAAAATTTATGTTTTCGCACTAATATGAAAATGTATTATTGCTGCCAGACCTCTTGTAAAAGACTTGTTAACACATATTTCTACAAGATCTTCAGTAGAAATTGTGTTAATGATTGAATCTCTCACGTATCTTTTATCTCAGTCTATATATTTTGAATAGAATGCTCAAGAGATTATTAAGTAATTATTTGTGAGTTATTTCTAAGCAGAGTTATTTTTATGCAACATGTTGACAAATTTGTTAAGTGATACAATAATATGTAGATGTAGGTTAGGTTTAGAATACTTATTTTCTATTAGGCAACTTTTTTTTGTCTTACGGTTTTTTCAATAAGGACTCTTGTTAAAAAAAAGTAAAAAATTTTAAGAATCTGTTTGATATTTCACCTCGAGTCTCACGGCTGGATCTGCACCTCAGAGCAACGAGGGGGTAGACACTATGGATACTCTGGGTATGAGGAAGCGGCAGGGACAGTTGTAAAGGTCAGGTAAGAATGAAAGGAGGAGTTCAGGTGGTTAGCAGGGCCAACAATTGGGTTGGGATTATGGGTCACCGATAGGTAATAGAAAATAAGATAAATGGCTTTACTGGTTAGATTTATAGGATTGACACCTTTTACACCAAAGTGGTAAAGATTCCTGGTAAAAATTGTTTGAATAATACGTGGGTTGGAAAAAAAGAAAAAATGTGAAACTTTTGACTATTAACGGTGCTTGATAAATAAAAGACGCAAAACCGGATTAACAGCGTTTTCAAAACTTTTTTAATAGATAATGAAATTAAAAGTTTGTGTGGATCAGAAAAAAATGTTATAATAGTATTATGATGATACTGTATTGAAGTTGTTAAATATTTAAAAAAAGCTTTATTTCTCTTTACTCAAAGTGAATTATGTAGACCAAAAAATATTTACCTACCAACTTGTAAGGTTATACTTACTAAAGTTACAGTTGTATTCGCAAATATTGTATGTTATGAATTTAAGTTTTAAGTAAAATTTTTATATCTATTTACGATTAACATGGTTTGATATAAAGATACCAACCCAACTTAGATGTCAACTTCAAAAGATAATATTTATAATTTATGTGTCATAGATTTACGAGGAAAGAAAACAATCAAAGTGTGCCAAAGCTACGGAAGTACACGTGACCCGATTAATGATCGACAAGCCCGAAAACAAGGTGTTGATGTTTATCAGCTCATGTCAATTGTTTGAAAGTAAATATCAAGTGAACAAAACAAAAAACAGTTACTACAACAGAAAGTCAATTTTTCTAATTTTTACTATTGTTTTGCAAACAAACAGTAAACTGGAGACCTGCTAAAGAAATCGTAGAATATTTTATTTAATTAATACTGTATTTAAGTACCTAAATTTATAAAATGTTATTCAATACCTAATAACATTTGAAGGATTTTAAACGAAATTAAGTTGTTCTGACCGACTTGTTTTGCTTTTCAGGCTTGTTAATATCCACTAACCAAAAACCTAAACATAACCTATCACCACTGAAACTAATTGTTTTCGGATGGCTTTGCCTCGGGGACAACTNTTTCTAATTTTTACTATTGTTTTGCAAACAAACAGTAAACTGGAGACCTGCTAAAGAAATCGTAGAATATTTTATTTAATTAATACTGTATTTAAGTACCTTGTTTGCGAGTTTTTTCCTCTTCATCGTCATTCAAAAAAAGACCAAACTCGCGTTTTAACCTTTCCGTCAAATTTTCTCTTTGGCGTTCGACGAGCGTGGGTGCTGCTGACCAACCCATTGCTCCATCTTCACCACCTGCAAGTAAAGTTTTTCGATAGTACTTTTCTTCATGTTATGAAAAGCAAAAATAAATGCGACTGTCTGAATATTTACCGTAATAATTTTAGTTATGAGCAAAATTTTTTTAATGTTTATTATTTTTAATTTGATTTGCAGGTTTAACTTTTTTTCGCAGGAATAACATACTAAAGGAATGATGAACGTACTTTAAAGAATTAAAAACATACATGTATGTCTTTCAAACTTTTTAATCATATTACTGCTTAAATTTGGTGTTAGTTTTGTAAGCGAAGAAATCTAAGTCAAATTCGTATTTTAAAAGAAAACATTCTATTTTTCATTGTTTGTAATCCAGCAAAAAAAATTCAGTGTAAACAAAAATTAAAAATTTTGTATTTATAATAACTTTTTAAGAATACCAATTGTTTCAGTGCTCATGTTGTATAGGTATAATCCCAGATTAAACATTAAAACGTATATAAATAAAACATCATAATGTTAAAAGAAGTTATTAGGTGTACATTTTGTGTGTATCGAGACAAAGACTACTATGTACCTAACTAGTTATAACCTACTGAGTCTGAAAAATAAAGATTTATTTATAATAACTTTAAATTTTATATTAAGCTTTGAAAAACTACAACTACCCCTTAAGAAAGAGACAGGCAGAGCAAAACTCTCTATAAAAGCTGAATCACCCACCAGTTTACCATTCCATACAATATTACAGGAAAAGTTCAACAATTATCCGTAGTATATTTATCACTAATACTTAGGTGCTGTTACAATAACACTAATTCAGATCACCTCTTACTATCTTAGATGAAGGTAACATTAACAAAGAGGTATTTGGGGCCATTTATCACAAATCTGCTATTAGAATTAGGATATTCTAAAATACTAAACCTTGTACGGTAAAAATAAACTTAATAAAAGTTCGAATCTTAATCAAATATTAAAGTTAGTTGATAAGACCTCAATAAGTTACTCAAAAATTTCAGAGCATATAATGTCTTGTATTTCCAATAAAGTTTTACACAGACTTTTACGGGCAAGCATAACACTTGCCATACAGAGATCTTTTAACTAATGTTCGGAAATTACGAAGGAAAGAAAAATTTTAATGGTTTCAGTAGTTTTACAATAGCGCTTATTCAATAGTATACATATTTTAATAGCGGTTAGTAAAGATAAGAGCACAACAGATGTTACCTCTTAGAACGTTGAGACGTGTCTGGCTTAGTAATATTAATAACGAAGAAATTTTAGAATAACAATATGCAAATACGTACAAGCAACCCTATTAGCTACTGTCCTTACTTAATATAACAGTAAGAGACACAGTATAATAATTACGTAATAAAAAAAAAATAATAAAGTCCTAAATCAAAAAATAGATAGAAAGTAGAAGTTAAAAATTTAATAAATAATAATTTTGAACTATAAAGTAGAACTGCACTTATTATATCAAGAAAATGTAACTATTAAATTTATCAAGTAATGCTAAAGAAAGTAAAAACAGGAGTCATACATCAAAAGCATACAGTTGGCGTAAACACCAACCTTTACATTTTTTAATTTTTGCAATATCAGTTTTTTAAAAAATTCCAAAAATAATTTGTCATAAACATTTTTGTTTTAAAACCCGTAACAAAAACAACGTATTGAATGAAAATTAACTTAAAAGATAAAGGTGTCAGAATATCTGTAAAAGTACCTGAATATTTTATTGTGAGTACTTTGTATGAAATTGACTATGAAATATGTTGATTTTTTTTGCGTTATACAAAAACAGTGTTCAATAAAGAAAATTACTAAAAAAAATCTATACAGCTGAAATATTTATTATGAATGTAAGAAATCAATCAAGTAACAAATAACTCATATTTTCTACAGTTAAATTTATATTTTCAATGTTATCATTACCATACACGTCAACATCGTAGTCGACGTCGTCGTCTACTGCTACAACTGTTGCTGCTGCTGCTATTCCAGCTACTGCTACTGCTACTGCTGCTACTACTACTGCTACTGCTACTTCTGCTACTACTACTGCTATAGCTACCCCTGCTACTGATTCTGCTACTCCTGCTACTGCTACTGCTACTGCTACTCTTGCTGCTGCTATTGCTACTCCTGCTACTGCTACTGCTACTACTACTGCTACTCCTGCTGCTGATACTGCTACTGCTACTCCTGCTGCTGCTACTGCTACTCCTGCTACTGCTACCGCTACTACTACTCCAGCTACCGCTACCATTACTGCTACCGATACCCCGGGTGGGGTTTTCGCTAGTTTCTCCATACCGGGCGCTTCCCCGGGTGGCGGATAGGGGCATCCTCTTAAAATATGAGGTAACGATGGGCAGCTAGGGTGGCTCTCTGTGGTGGTGGTCAGGGGCGTAGATTGGGGGGCGTGTGTGGCGTTGGCGTGTGTATTTGCGGCGATGTTGACGGGGGACTAGTGCCCCATGCCTCCATCGGTGTGATGCATGGGCCGGCTCTGCTTGTGCTCCTTGTTCTTCGCTTTTTGCTGCTTCCGTAGGTGGCACTCCATTGCTTGATGCGGGCCAACAAAAACTAGCACCCGTCGTGTATAGAAGTAAGCGACGGTTAAAACATTCTACTCAGATACATGCATCACACTCTCCCTAAACTAACACAGGGACACTTACGGATTGTCCTGGGTTGCGTGTGGCGGGTCCTTTTCCGGGCTTGCGTTAGAGGCCTGGCGACGGGTGAAGCCGGATGATGAGGACCGGGTAAGTCTGGGTAACCACATCTGATATAGCTGTACGCCTCATGAACAAAAAAGACGTGGTGGGCCGACTAATATAAGCTTACTACCACTGAGGAGGCTATATGGCGGCACCTTAGTGCCTTACGCCAGCCCGTTTTGTTGGGTTCTCTGCGTGGTCGTGGGACTGTACACCTCATCAGTGCCGCTCATCTTGCTGGGGTGACCATTGTGTACCAATATATACATACATTACACACGAACACCATTTTTACAATTATTACTCAACGCCAGAGCAGTCTCCGCGGGTAGGACTGAGGGAGAGTGGTAACTCCCGGCCGGCCCGAGCAAGTAGCGGTTTTCTCTGGTAACAGAAAGGGCTGCTGCCCTGGTTTTAACCCTTTCCGAATACTTATTTCTAGAAAAAAAGGGTAGTGATGGCCTTCGTGGGTCAGTACGATATTAAAAAAGATGTCAATATGAAAAACGTCGATGCAAAACGAGTACCCAAGGCGGTAACCTCTCTGAGGGAATCCGCCGGCAGTTCCGATCCGGTGAAAGCCCGGGTGACTGACGCAGGCCCCACGGATTCTGTGGAGGGGGGGGGGGCACAAAGACGTGTCTCATGGCCAACAGGGACTGCTAAATGTTCCATGGCCTTTTCTTACAGATAAAGGACGAAGAGGAAGCCTGTCGAGTACAGGCACTAACGACACTAAGGTTAGCAACGTGTCGGTATTTAGCCACCAGACCCAGGAAGAGCTTGCCTCTTTAGAAGAAAGTGTCACTAGGCTCGGAGTAAAGCGACAGCAAGTTGCTGATAAAGTCCAATCAGCAACGAATGATATTACAAAGACGCTACAACTGATTAATGATAAGTACGGCAACACAGCGAACGCTGTTTAAAATGGGCTTAAAGCGGCGCTTAAGCATCTTCAAGAGGCAGAGGTGCTAAGAAAAGGCTGTCTTGCTGAAGAAGATTTGTATACCAACGCTTGGAAGTCGTCATTTGAATCCCTGCAGTGGAGGGAAAAAAGGCGAGATAATTTCCGACGGCATGTACAGAAACGAACCCTGAACACTGTTTTAAAGAAAATAGAACGAAGTAAGAGAAACAGGAGCGCATCGGACAGCCCTGAAAAACGACAGCAGGCTATGTCTTTAAAGAAAAAGAAAACAGGATTTCACTGAATGACAAAACAAGCCGGAAGAAAAAAGTGGACGCCACAACAACAGTAGTAGTAAAGATGGCTGAAGGACAGACCTTTTGCAACGGTGCTGAAGACTATGAAGGCGAACTTTGACCCCGATAAGGCTTAAGTGGCAGTCCAAAGTGTTGTCACTACAAAAAAAGGAGACATACTTATTAAGGCCAAAGGTGTAGAGAATGCTACTGTGTCAGGCGGGAGTAGGAGGTGAGACTCGATGCGGTGACTGGGGAGGCCCGGGTATCTCTACCACTGATAAAGTCGGACATTCACAAATAAAAAAGATGTGGCGATCCTTTTAACTGAGGAATCTGGCCATTGAAGGGCTATATGGAGGGCACTTTTAGTGCATACCAGCTGGTACTCTTTGTGTCGGCCGGTGTTAAATATGTGGTGGTTGTATTTGCCTGGGCTCGTGGGATGGAGTGGGCATGAAACAAGAGAACCACACTTTCACACTCAAACAACACCCAACCACCTAGTCTACTATTTCTAGAAACTCCTAAAAATTAGTCCCTAGCCGAGGGTAGAAGGCTCGTCGTGTTTGCCGTGCAGTGCGACTCGTGAGCGGCCAAAGGGAGATCCTGGGCAGTAAGGCGATACCTAGGCTGCGAGCCGAAGTGACCCGAGCTGTCTTTGGCTCCTGCTGACTGCAAGACGGGAGGCCGGATTCTTAACCAGATCCGGTCAATCGGCTAACACTGGGGCGGTTGCGGGTGGGGGTCGGCTGGTCGAACTGCTGCTTTGGTCTTGTTGGCTTGGTGGGGGCCTGTCGGGCTGGATGGGTGTGGAGGCGTGGCGGTCATCGCTTGACTTCTACTCCTTTCTGGCTTGGCGGTTCCTTGTTGGACTGGTGGGATTGCTGTCGTGGCGTTGCTGGCTTGCCCCTCTTTGCGGCTCCCTTAGTGTGGTGAGTACATTCTGCCATGTGACGTCTGCCGGAAACTTTTCAGAGAGTGGATCGCTTCTGGTTGAGGGCGTGATGCTCGAGGGGCGGAGGTGGGCTAGCGTGGCAGAGCGTGCTATATCTCGAGGTTACCCACCCGAACCGAAACCGGCCTTCAGACATG